ATATATATATATATATATATATATATATATATATATATATAAGAAGATGAGCTACATAATTGAAAATTAAATAAGCGAGTAAGATCATTTGTTAATTTTACTAAGTATTAATTGGATAAATATTGCTTGCACAATATTGTGGTAGTAATGAAAAATTTTGAGAGTTGAAAATGAATTTAAAATCTGACTTGGCTTGGCAATATTATTGTTTAGCATAGTTGTATTTCAATCATGTAGTTGCTTGAGGACAAGCAAACACTTGAATTTGGAGGTGTGATAACTCTCCAAAATAGTTATTATTTAGAGTCTTTTTACTTGGATTAGTTTGAATTTTAACATCATTAGGATTATTTTAGTTTATATTTTGTATATTTTGCATAACTTACATAATGTGAGTGAGTGATTATTTCTTGGGCTGAATTGGATGTTTTTGCAGGGAATTTTCTACTCTAGTGTTGTGACATTTTTTATGATGTATTCGTTATTGTGAGCCTATGCGAGATAGCATTATTGAGTCATTATATAGCACCTAACAACTCACTAGGAGGTTATATATAAATAATATTATTCAATGCATTATGTTCACTTTACCTGCATTTTATCCATGTTACCATATATCAACATGATATAAACCATATATAAAATTTTTTACCAATATACTTGTCATTCATTCCAAAAGCTCATAAGCTAGTTCTCCTGTTTATTATTTAATAACCAATAAATCATAGCCCAAATATAAATCTATGAGGGCCCTGGGTACACAAGTCAAATATGCACTGAAGTGCTATACACATAAGGTCCTGCCCACCATATGCAATGTATCCTTTATATACATTATAGTGCTAAACCGAATATGACACATAAGGTCACGCCCACCACCTGTACTAAGTTTCCTTTATAAACACTATAGTATTGAACCGATATGTAGCCTGTTGCTGGACTCTATGGCATGTCAACTATACCTCTGTCCCTCAATGACTTTCTTGGGCATATAGTTTATTTTTATTCCTTCCATATCAAAGTATATTAATATTAATTTTAACATTGGGAAGTTCATACCCAAAATAAAATTCCTAATACAAATCATAGACATATTCATGATAACATTGTATATAATAACCAGTGATCAATGCATTTTATATTCAACCTTTGCCATATTTAGAATATGTCAAATATATGATAAATGACATAAATATCATGCCAATATAAATAAGGTAGACTCATCGCAAGTCTTCCAAATGACGTATAAAACATTCATATATAATATTATGCATGCACTGAATTCAGATTGACACTTTATATAGAAGTCAAAATGTAGGCATCCCCAAGCTTTCAGCTTGATTCTTTACTTTCGATTTGCTTCTATAAAGAAATTATCACAATTTCATATTCTGGCAGTTTGCACTACCTTCAAATAAATATTATTTTTTATTAATATACACACATAAAGAAATTTGTTTATACTAATAGAAACTAGACTCGAATACAAATCTAACCATGTAAGACACTTCTTCTAGTTCAATTTGTACAAATTACAGTGAATTTTCAAAGATGGCTTACAAAAACTATTTTGAGCAGAATCTGCTGCCTTGTTTTCTGACCTATTCTTGATTAAAATTTTATATATTTTTGTTAACTCATCGAAATTAGTATCTGTTTGTTTTAAACGAAAATAGATTGATATAAAAATCCAACGTTATAGACATCATTCTCTAATCACTTCTTTATAATTTATGGTGATTTTCTAAACTTATTGTTCAATTCATAATTTCTAAGCAGCTTTCCCTAGTTAGCATCCTTAGCTTGTTCAACAAAATGAACATATATGCATGAATCACAAATCACATAACATTTAGGAGTCACTTCTTACCATAATAACTTCGTCACTGGCTCATCGCAAGCTAATGTTTGTTCTATAACAAAAGTAAGCTAATGTTTGTTCTATAACAAAATTAAGCTAATGTTTGTTCTATAACATAAGTATAAATTAAATATGCACTCATCTGGTGTCCTTAGCTTGCAAAGCTTCCTTATAAATTTACATTTCATCCTTAAGCTTCTCCTTAGCTTTAACATTATTTGATCTTGATTTAATCATAATCTAATTGAACACTATTTACAACACATATACAATTTAACCACATGTTATAATCTTACTAACATAGGCACGCAATAGAAAATAAATTCCTAAAAATCTTTCAATGCTCATTCGATACTAATTCCATGCAACAACTTAAATGTTGACCTTAACACTTCAAGTTGACCATTCAAGTCCCTTTTTATTCAAATTCATTAAAACTACCCATAACATTTTTAACTTTGCATTTTAACCACAAATTATGAATTATTTTAGAATTTATCTCAACTTTTCCATTTCATTCAAAATGGTCTTTTACCATTTACTTAATTCAAATTCAATACTAAAAATTCTAGCCTTGAAATAATATAATCAATCTAGTACATTCACATTTTCATAATTATCTTTAAATCCCCTAAAACTCTCCAAACTTTCCAAACTAGTCACCAAACTTACCAAGTTTCCAAAATGATCCAATTTCACATTCTAACATCAATTTCAACACTCTAACATTCATTTCCAGCATAGTACAACAACTATTGAACAATTACACATTAAACCCTAATATTCCATAATTTCTAAATAGGTCCCCTAACATTCACATATTACAACATGGTCCTTACAACTTCCTAAGGCTTGTAGGATCCTTCCCACATCATTTCCAACCCTTACATAATTTTTCTCACCCTTTAATACCATGGCTGAACACTTTAGGGTAGGATTTCAAAGGTTTTCAATTTGATTCAAGCATGAATTCAACCTCAAATCAACATTTCAAAGCTTCTAAAATTAAACCCCCAACATAATTTAACCAAATCACAAACTTCCCAAAACCCTAAGTTTATGTCAAACTCAATATATGCATTTGTAGGTGGTTTTAATCATCAAACAAGCTTGGAAATGATTCTACAACATCAATGACCTCAAAATCCATCATCAATTCAATAAAACCCTAATATCTTCTTCACCAATCAAATTTGGGAACTAAGCATTCACACAAGATTAAAATGCATAATTGGTACCAAATGATAGAGCTATTCGAATAGAACAATTTTCTATTTCATGCTTTAATCCAAAAACTTAAGGAAATTGATTGAAAATGAAAAATAATTTTTTTTCCAAACCATAGGGATGATACACGGACAAGGAGGAGAAAGATGAACAAGTCTCATGAAATTTCTAGTTAATTTCATGTTAATTTGTCATTTATTAAGCTTAAACGAATTTAAAATTCATTTAATTGGGAAATGACAATTTCACCCTTAATTAAACTTGATTACAACTATACTTTGCTACTTGTTAATTATCATCTTCCAAAGTCAAAGATAAACAAATTAGTTTACCCTTTACAACTTTACCTTGCACTATTCCAAAAATTTCAATCTTACCATTTTTATCCAACGGTCCAAAATAAACATAGAAATTAATTCTCAAATCCAATGATCCATATTATTTTCCATCATTTTAAAAAGTGGAAATAATATTTCTAACCTTAATTTATCATCATTCAAAATTTATCAAAATTTCGATTAGATCCGATTAACCGAATTTTTATCGGACTTTAACACTTTATAGATTTTAATACAAAATTTGAGTCAACAATCTTATTCCTACAAAAACATCATTCTTTGGGTTGAACCATTCATTTACGGGGCCAAAATACCTAACTTTTGAAAATTACACTTTGATAAACTTTCCAGAATTTATACTTTGACCACTAAACTTTCAAAAATTACATTTTGGTCACTAGCCAAAATCTTGGGGTATTACATGGACGTTAACCTGTTCAATAAGATATGATAAAGTCTTATTTTAATGATATCTATGACACTTTCGTTGCTTTCAAGTATTGGATTAATGACATGATATTTCAAGCATTGGCTCGACGGTGTAATGTAAAAGGATAGTTGATTCATAAAATATAGGTCAAACAATTTTGAGATCAGATTTTATCATATTCAAATCAACAGGTTAACGTCCAGCTTGGACGACTGCTAATTTTTTTAACGAAAAATGATGAGTTCGAAGCCTATGAATACAATCCAAATCAATAGGTTAACATCTAGCTTGGATGACTGTCAATTTTTTAACGAATAATGATGAGTTTGGAACTTATGAATAGTTGGTGACCATTGTGTAACTTTTAATAATTAGAAAATTCAATAAAATAATATCTTATAATTAAAGGATATTTTGTTACTTTTGACAGTAGAAAATCACAACAAATTAACGCGTTATAGTCTATAGTCAGGAGCCATTTATGTATTTTTACCCTTAAAAATATCATATTTAGATGGAGGAAGGAAGATGAATTGTGGTCAATCACGTGTTTGGACTTGCTTAAGCAGACGTTAGAGAAAAAAGAGTGAGTGATTGAGATTGATGGAAGTAGGTCACGTGTGGCGGCAGCATTTGTTCTCAGTTTTTGAGTAAACGACAACCTTACTAATAGTATTCAATAGCAGACAAACTTGAAATCACCATGCAAATGTTGTAATTTAATTTATTCAATAGCAGCCACACTTGAAATCTCCATCATATTTACTCTAATATTAATATTCTCTGTATAACTTGAAAAAATTCACAGTTCACGGCGTCAAACTTGTTTAGCATCACATTATCAATTTTATTTTCTCGTTATATAATATTGCTGTTTACATCTGTTATCAGATAAATAAATGTTATATTATATTGTGGACTACGGCGTACTGTTTGTTCTATTGCTTGATTCGGTTGGTGAAGTTAATTTTATACTCAAAAAGTTGGGAAAGATTGAAAATCTTTAGGTAATCAGGTTGACTTTTATTTTATGCGACTCATTTAGACATCTTTCCGATTAGGAAAAAGGAAAAACAATGGTATGCGGACTTTTGCACAGAAAGGCTGCTACTTTGATGGCACTATAAAACCTTCTAAATCCATACCAAAAAGGAGATGTCAATCGAGCTCTAACACCAAACTAAACCAAAACAAAAGGGTTTTCTCTTCAGTTCTTGCAGAAAACAAAGAAAATGGGTCACAGTGTAGAAACAGTACAGCAAGAAGTTGAACAAACTTTCACGATGCCTGTTCTAAGTCCCTACAAAATGGGAAAATTTAATCTTTCCCACAGGTAATATATTTTCTTCTGTCAATGTTGTATGAACTCTAAGTAATAGGGGTGAACGTTCCATCGAGTTGAAAAGATCGAATTTTCCCTTGCTTTTGAAAGGGTTTCATCATTTTTTTGTTTTATTGCCTCTCAGAATGGTAATGCCACCAATGACAAGGCAGAGATCTTGGAACAATATTCCTCAGCCGCATGCTGCCGTCTACTATTCCCAGAGAGCCAGCAAGGGCGGTCTTATTATAAGCGAGGCTACTGTCATTTCTGAAGCTGCTCGAGGGTAATCTAACTCTCTTCTTTTTATTACTACCACACCCTATAACTATAAATGTAGAAGTTTGTATATATAATAGCAGTATTGAACTGTACCCTTTTTTTTAATCACTCTTAGCATTAAACTAAAAACTCGGGGGTCTGCCCTTAAAAAATAAAGGTACAAAGATACACCTGGTATATGGTCAAAAAAGCAAGTAGAGGCATGGAAGCCCATAGTTGATGCTGTCCATGCAAAAGGTGGGATCTTCTTCTGTCAGATATGGCATGTTGGAAGGGCTTCTACATATGGTGAGTTTTGATTTTCTATTAGTTTAGTGTGAGTTTAGCAAGGATTACTACTCTTGTTTTTTATCATGATGGATCAAAGGGGGACGGGTGGCATAGTCGAATTAGTATATAATTTAAATATTTTCTTTGTTTTTTAATTGATAATCTGTTTTTACCACTAAAGTTTTATAAGTTGGTTCACTCCTACAATTTTGTATGTTTGCCCCCTGACATCATCTATAATCTCTTGCTGATACCTAATCACTCGGATCCCCCAATAAACAGAGTATCAACCAAATGGGCAATCTCCAATCTCCTCCACCGGCAATGTATTGAACCCCCAAGTTCAAGCAAATGCCGAGGAGCCTGCGAAATTCTCTCCTCCACGGAGATTAACCACTGAAGAGATCCCTCAAGTTGTGAATGAGTATAGACTTGCTGCAAGGAATGCCATGGAAGCTGGCAAGTTCCTATCTCCCTTTAAACAACTTCTATGTTGGCGTTGGAGATTTAAATAGCGGTCTGCTAGCGATAAACACAATGTAATCGTAAATGTGGCTGCAATTGCTATTTAAATCCCCGATTAGTGTCACCGTTCTCGCTATTTTGAGTTTCTCTAAAACAAAGCATTTGGATTCACAGGTTTTGATGGAGTTGAGATACATGGGGCACATGGATATCTACTTGACCAGTTCATGAAAGACCACATTAATGATCGAACGGATCAATATGGAGGGTCTCTTGAAAACCGCTGCAGGTTTGCCTTGGAAGTAGTTGAAGCTGTTGCTAATGAGATAGGAGCAGACCGAGTTGGACTCAGGCTATCTCCGTATGCAACCTACTTAGACTCAGGTGATTCCAATCCGACGGCATTGGGCGTTTACATGGCGGAGTCTTTGAACAGATACCGTATCCTATACTGCCATATGGTTGAACCAAGGATGAAACTTTCTGAAGAAAGTTTTGAAACAACTGAAAGTTTGGTTCCCATGAGGAAGGCTTTTAAGGGTACTTTTATTGTAGCCGGAGGGTATGATAAAGAAGATGGTAATAAAGCTGTGGCTGAAAACCGAACTGATCTGGTGTCGTTTGGTCGTTTGTTTTTATCAAATCCAGATTTGCCAATGAGATTTGAGCTCAATGCGCCTCTCACCAAGCACAACCGGAGTACCTACTGCGAACCGGATCCTGTTGTTGGCTACACCGATTACCCATTTCTTCAAAACACCGCTTAGGCTTGTCGAGAATGTGGATTTGGCAAGTATTTAAATAATCAATTTAATGTTCAACATTTGTAATTTTTCTTTCTTTCTTGAGTTTTCATGTTTTGTAGGATTTCCTTGTATCTTGGGTAAACAATATGATACATTTGTCTAGTAACGTGATAACTCGTTTATTTTTATTACATAATGTATTTTCTCTTATATAATTGCATTTATAATATTGTCGTAACCGGCTTTTAGGTAAATTTGATCATGTTTTTTAAAAGGTTTGATGAAAAGATGAGAGTCACCATCAATCGTTTGTAAGATGATATTAGTACAATTTTCATTCAATTTCAAGCATGAATTCAAGTTCCTATGATCTAATTCATGCTATTATAATCTTCATAACATCAAATTCAATCAAAATTCAACCAATCTCCATAAACCCTAGCTATAGCTAAAACTTATTCATGCACTTTTAGATGATTTTAATCATCATTCATGCTTGAAAATTAATCTAGAACCTTAATAAAATAAAAATCATCCTTTAACTCTTCAAAATCTAACATGTTCTTCAACCACCCAAATCATGAAACTCACCATCCAAGCATGATTTTCATTAAATTTTTTATACCAAATGATAGAGAATTTCAAGAGGATTAATTCTCTATCTAATAGCTTAACATAAAAATCAATCGAATAAACTTAAAAATCAATTTGAAAAGCTTACCCCTTTAGCCATAGAGGCTCACGACAGCTTGAAGGAGAAGGACTGATAATTTTCATGATTTTCTACACTTTTCTTTAATACACATGTCATTTTATAATTTAAATTAATTTAAAATTTATTTAATAGGAAATTCCAACTTTATCCTTTAAAATCCTTTATAATTTCAACCATGCCACTAAAATATTTTATAATTTAATATTCAAAGTAAAATATGAACAAATAAAAATTAACTTTCCACCTTTTCCCTTTGAAATTTTAAAAATTACAATTTAGTCACTAATTTTTCCAATTTCGACTAAATAGAGAAAATTAACTTCAATTCCAGTAATTCATGCTAAATTTCACTGTTCAAAAATATGGAAATAATATTTCCAACCTTTATCTAACATTTTTCAAATTTTCGTGAAATTCTGGTCCGATCTGATTATCCAATTTCTTATCGGACTTTACTGCTTAATAACTTTTAATACGAATCCCGAATCAAAATTTTGATTCCCACAAAAGTTTTATTTTGATAAAAACTATTCATTTATAGACCAAAATATTTCAATTTCAATAATTCTATTTTTGGTCTCTAAACTTTTCAAACTTTATACTTTGGCCACAAAAATTTTAAAACTTACATTTTGGTCACTACTAAAAAATTTGGGGTATTACAAGTCGGATCACGTAGTCAAACAATCAATTATTAAACCTAATTATTCTAGGTGAGTTAATTAAGGCTTCTCTCTATCTAAAGTGTCAAATTATGAATATAGAGAACTTAAAAGGATTAAACCTAAAATATATGCTCTAATATTAAACCTAACCAATTTTAACAATTATTGGGTCGAATAACTAAAATGGAACCTCCGACATAAATGCCATGATCAAATTAAAAAATCCCTTAAATTAAGGACTAAAATTAAGGTTCTAATATTAATCCTAACGAACTTTAGCTATTTATTTGGCCGAATAACTAAAATGGAACTGTAACACCCCTAAATTTTGGTTAGTGAACAAAATATAAATTTTGAAAGTTTAGTTGGAAAAGTTTATGGACCAAAGTGGTACTTTTCCTAAAAATGAATTTTATTCCATAAAGGAATAGTTCACCCCCAAGAATTACGTTTTCGTGAGAATCAGATTTCTAATACGGATTTTGTGTTAAAAGCTATAAAGTGTTAATATCCGGTAAAAATTCGGTAAATCAGATTGAATAAAAATTTTGAGGAAATTTGAAGGATATTAAATTAAGCTTAGAACTATTATTTTCACAGTTTAAAATGATGGAAAATAATATATATAATTAGATTTGAGAATTTATTTCCATGTTCAGTTTGGATCGTTGGATGAAAATGGCAAGATTGAAATTTTAGGAAAAGTGCATGGGTAAAGTTGAAAAGGGGTGAAATAATTTGTTCATCTTTGTCTTTGGAAAGATGATAAGTAACATGTGATTTGGTATGGATATAATTAACAATTTTCATTAATAGTAAAATTTTCATTTCCCAATTAAGTGAATTTTAAATTCATTTAAGCTTAATAAATGACAAATTAACATGAAATTAACTACAAATTTCATGAGAACTCATTCATCTTCCTCCTCTTGGCCATGAGTCCTAACCCTAAGTAAGAGAAATTTTATTTTTTATTTTTGAGCAATTTCCTTTGGATTTTGTATCGAAGCGTGAAATAAAAAATTGTTCTATTTGATGCGCTCTATCTTTTGGTATCGTTATTGTATGTTAATCTTGTTTGAGTACTTAGATCTCAAATTTTAGGGTTTATGAGAATGTTAGGTTTTATGAATTGATGGTGGATTTTGAAGTTATTGGTGTTGTAGAATTATTTCCAACCATTATTGATGATTAAAACCACCTAGATATGCTTATATTGGTTTTAGCCTAAACCCTAAGTTTGGAGAAATTGTGAATTAATGCAATTAAGTTAGGGGTTTGATTTTAGAATATTTGAAATGTTGTTTAGAGTTGATTTCATGCTTGAATCAAAGTAGAAATCATGATTCTACAAACCATAAGAATTCAACCTTGAGAAGAAAGTAGAAATCAAAGTAGAAATCATGATTCTACCAGCTTTAGAATGTTGTTTGGACCAATCTATAATTTTTTGAAAGTTGGGGGACCTATTTAATAGTTGATGGACTACGCTGGAAATTAATGTTAGAGTGTGAAATTGTGTCATTTTGGAAAGTTGGTAAAAGTTAAGGATCAAATCACAGATATGAAAAAGTCGGGAACCTGAGTGAAAATGTTATGTGAAGTTTGGATAAATTTTGATAAAAAAGAACTTGAATGGTCAATTTTAAGTGTTAAAGTCAACACTTATGTTGTGACATGGAATTTGTATTGAATGAGCATTGGAAGATTTTTAGGAATTTATTTTCTAATGTGTGCCTATGTTAGTAAGATTCTAACATGTGGTTTGAATTGTATATGTTTTGTAAATGGTGTTCATTTATATGGTGATTGAAATCAAGATCAGACAATATTAAAGCTAAGGAGAAGCTTAAGGGTGAATGTGAATTTCTAAGGAAAATTTTCAAGCTAAGGACACCAGGTGAGTCCATATTTAATTTGTATTTATGTTATCGCACAAACATTATCTTGTGATGAGCCAATGACAGAGTTGATATGGTAAAAAGTGACTCCTAATCTTGTGTGACTTCGTGATTTATGCATATATGTGCATTTTGTGAGCTAATAAAATTACTGAATAAGCTACAAATGCAAATTGGTGAAATCTGCCTAGAGTTGTGATCTGAACAATAAGTTTAGAAAATTACAATAAATTCTATAGAAATTATTACAGGGTGATATTTATACTATTGGATTTTTATATCAATCTAGTTTTGTCTAAAATAAACGACTATTGAATTTCGAGGAGTCTGCAAAAATATTTGAATTTTTAATCAAGGATATGTCAGAAAACATGGTAGCAAATTCTGCTCAAAACATCTTTTGTAAGTCAACTTTGAAAATTCACTATAAATTGTACAAATTGAATTAGAAAAATTGCCTTATATGGTTAGATTCTTATTCAAGTCTAGTTTCCAATGGTATAAACGGAATAGTCTTTATGTATGTATATTAATACATATTAATATTTCTTAGAAGGTTGTACAAACTAATTTTGGGATCGAACCAAATCGAAAACAAAGGATCAAGTTAAAGCTTAGTCAGGCTTATATTTTGACTTGTATATAAAGTGTCAAAGTGAGTGCAATGCATGCATAATATTATACATGGATGTTTTTATACATCATTATGAAGACTTGTGATGAGTCTACATTGGTTATATTGGCATGATATTTATGTCATTTATCATATATTTGACATATTCTAAATATGTAGAAGGTTCAATATAAAATGCATTGATCATTGGTTATTATATATGATGTTTATCATGAATATATGTGATGTTTACTATAAAAGTTATTTCGGGTATGAACTACCCAATGTTAATTTATATTAATATACATTGACATGGATGGAATGAAAATAGACTATATGCCCGAGTAAGTCATTGAGGGACATGATACAGTTGGCATGCCATAGAGTCCAGCAGCAGTTGCATATCGATTTAGCATTAAAGAATGCCTAGTGCATATGGTGGCACGACCTTATGTGTCATATACGAGTCACTACTAAAGGATACCTAGTACTGATGGTGGGTACAACCTCATGTGTCATATCGATTTAGCACTTCGGTGCATATTTGACTTGTGTTGTAATGCCCCATATTTTATCCTGGAGTCCGAACTGGATACCTAAGTGTATATTAGGTTCCAATCATATTAGACAAATCAGGATCCACATTACGCACATTTCACAGAAGAAAACAAATTAAAATCTGTTAATATTCATCACACACAACGTTCAATGTAACTGACACGCAATTGAATCTCAATTAAACATGCAAACATTACATTTAAACGTTTAGTGGTATTTCGGTCATTTCACATCATGTAATAAATCAAAAAGTCAAATCATCCAGTTAAAGTTACCACACACTAAACATCATCATAAGGAAGTAGCACGTAAAATTTCATACCTATCGGACATCAGACAATCACTCAATTGATCATACAAGATTAAGGACCTAAACACAAATATACAAAACTTACATACCAAACAGTGACATGCAATTGAGGGTTCCATTATGTAATTAAGTTTGTTTAATAAGTGATCACCCAAATCTCATCAAATTTCCAAATTAAGAGTTTAAGTAATTAAGAAAATCAATTTCTGAGTTAAATTGATCTCACATAATCATTCAGGGGTCAAATTAGAATTTAAGAATACTTCAGACCTTGAATGAATGCAATTTCAACTTTTTCCATCGAGAAAAATAAAGAAGGGATCGATTCTTTCTTGAAAGGGATAAATTCTTTTTCACGGAGGATCGATCCTTTACAAAATAGAAACATTGGGAGTGATCATTTCTCCTAAAGGGTCGATGATTTTTCTGAAAAATTGCAAATTTAT